AAAAAAAACAACACAAAAAAACCTGCAGAACATTTCTACTCTAAAATATAATAGCATTATGAATCAGGATTGATGTCACAGCAACAACACAGTTTTCATTTTTTTATTTTAAAATATGTTAAAATAGAAATTATAAAGTATCTGGCCACCTTGTTCAATATTGAGAGTGGGAATGATGGTAGGATGTCAAGGGGAAATTATGGGTGAATGGATTTCGTACCAAAGAGAAAGGATATCAATTCAATTATTAAGGGGTGCTTGATCCAAACCGTATTCAATTACTCCCCATGCATCTAGTAAGACGATTCTATACCTGTCTCAACAATAGATAACAGTCCCATTTGCTTCCCACCATTGAAGGAAAACAATCTGTTGCCAATCCTTTAAAATTTAAGTCCTAAATCTTTAACAACTTAAAATATTCCCATGGATTAGGCTTTGTAGGAGTAGTCCTAACAGAAGAGTACATGCATCGTAAAGAGAAGGTAGAATGGACGCCTGACATCGAAACTCTAGGAATATTAGAGCTATTTCTTGTTCAAAAGGAAAACCCACAACCAAGGAGAGTGAAAAAGCTCTGGAAACAGGGAAAGGGGCAGAACAGCAGTGTGTCCGCACAGTCTTCCCTGCCTGGCCATCCATGCCTGGAAGTCAGGAGCGGACAGCTGAGGCAGCAGCTCGAGGCCTTTTCAGTCAGAAGAGGCTGCAAATTTGTATTTAAATTAAAAACGACTGCAGAAGTAAGACTAAACAGACACGTTCTTCTGATGTGTCTAGCAGCCATGCTCCACAGGAAGCATATCATTTGAAACATCCTTCGTTGAATATAATTTTTTAAAAACACTTAAGCAATAAATATTGACAGCTATTCTGAATTTAACTTTGATTTATACAGAAAACTGTCAGAGAAAGGAAAGTGTGTGGCAGTTGACATCTTCTGTAATCCCTTCCTCACAGATACACAGACTATAAATTAGCAAATGTGTATGCTTGCGTGTATATCTGTGTAAAGCTCTATCTACACTCTTAACAACATGTGGAAAAGCAGAGTTGGATAAACAAAAGAAGAAAAAGGGAGAGTTGAAGGAGAAAAGAATGAGTCTAAAAAAAAGAAGCAGACATTACCTGCGGTGAGGACCTAAAAGATTAAACTTCAGCAACAAATGGTAACAAGAAACAAAGGACAGAGGTCTGGTGACATAAAGCAAAGTCATTTGTGCAGACAGGTTCATGAATATTTTTTCAGGAATTCATGAGATAAAGACATGATGAAAACAACAAAATCAAAAGTACTACCTGTACATGGAATGTGAAAATGCAGAAAACTCCAACATATCTGCAAGATCAGTGTCAGTGCAAGGTTGATGAATACCAAGATTCTTTGCTACACAATACGTTTACTATGTCCATCCTGATCCAGCATTTGCGAGAAGCTACTTGTGCATGTTCTTACAGATTACTATATTTAAAAGCTTAGGGATGTATACAGTGGTTATCTCAAGATGATGGAAGCAGTTACCTTAAAGGAGGGAAAAATAAGACCTTTACTTTCTGTATAATGTTGTTTCTGTCACATTAGAAAGCTAAATTACCACATATTATGTGGATAAATGTAAAAAGAATCAACAGCTAGAAAATAATGTCAGGAAAGCTAAACACTAAAATGAACTACAACATGTCAAATACAAGATGAATAGCATTTTCTTCTATGTTCTTAATAGAAACTATTTAAACCTTGAACTGTTCTGTTATTCTGAGTATTGAGTTGCAAACCTGGATTGTTGTTGTTGGAACCACCTCAAAGCTGGCTGCCTATTTTCCTCTTGGGGAGAAGCTGGTGGATATGAACCCCATGGCTTCACGATGATAGTCCAACACTTTACCATTAACTCACCAGATCTCATTAAGGAAACTTGTGAAAATACAAGCATATCCTGTGGCACGTGGTTCCATTCTCCATGGAGTTGCTATGAGTGAAAACAACCATCTCTAGGCATTTACTTTCATGACATTTGATCAAGTTACCAAGCAATTTGTCATCTCAAGTCCTTCCACAGAACTCCTACCGTTGATCCACAACTGATGTATTATGTCCAAGGAACCCATTCTTGATAAGAGAAGTTAAGGATCTCGAGTCACCAAGAGACAGATAGCCAGATGTAGCAAAGACCAGATAATGTCACAAAAAAGGAGCTCAGGGGTGAAGAATGTTTATGTTAAGCCTTTGGAAAAATATTCGAGCAATATTCACATATTGCTGTGTTGCTATGTATGTGTTGTTGTTGTGTGCTGTCTGGTAGGAAGTGACCCATGAATGACCTTGTAGTGGGTTTTCAGGGACACTTGTATGGGAGGTTGCCCATCTTTCTCTTGTGGAGAAACTGCAAAATCCTAACTGCTAGCCTTTGGGTTGGTAAGGCAATTTCTTACCTTGTGCATGAAACCCAGAAGCTAAAAGTAGGACAGCCACTCACTGAGGCCCCAGAATGCTGCTTGCCTCTTAATATAATGAAGAAGGGTCTGACCTTTCGAGCGATAGCAGGAGAAGATTGGTGAGTAGTGAGCTTGCTGTCATTAGAATTGATGAGGCACAGAATGGATGGTGATTTCTTGAGATGTTGCAAGAAAGACTTTGTTTTGCAAAAGATGGGAGTTTCATTCTATGCCTCTGGGAAAGAACTACTAACACCCTCCAGATTCCTTTGAGCACCCTAGGGATCTGTGTTTTTAGATCAAGTATGCATAAATGGAATTCTCTTTTTTATTATTTTTGAAAGCAGGCTTTGACATTCTTGTCCTGTTCATGAGCCTTGAATCCAGCTCTCCTTGTGAAAGTCTCTCCTGGAGGCCTCCGTTTCATGTGGTCTCCTGCTTCTAAGCAGCTTCACTCATGTTCTTTTTTGCTTCACTTCTAAGCCTTGTTGCTCTGACTCCACCTAAGAGATGCTCAAAGGGTTTTTGTTTGAAACTGGAAAGCAGTCTACATGATAACTTTTTTTTTCTTCAATACACAGAGGAGGGAAAAATGTAGTTCAGATTCCCCTGTTGTCACTGACTCGTCATTTTTTGAACCTTTTGTGAAATAAAGATAGTTTTGAGCAAATCCCCTGGGCTCTCTTTCAGCACTGGGATCCACATTCAGTGCCTACTGGGGACAGGAATGAGCTCCATCCCTCTGTAATCTTTCGTGAGCCCTTTCAGTTAGCAGAAATTACAGGTTGCCAGTAGTGTACAAGAGATCTTTATATTCTTCACCTTCTAATCTTGGGACCTGAGACTGTAATTTCCACCTCTTCCTCGGTGAATTAATTCTTACCTTGGCTCCTGAAACTTTGCAGTCTGCTCCTGCGTGTGACATATCTTCCTTCGAGAGTGGAAGCTTTAGTTACCACTGAAGACTTTGACCCAGAAAAAGGGAACATTATATAAGGAATAGTGATTTCACATAGCCTTTTCATTTTCTACCCTATTAATCATCCCAAGTATTTTGTGAAGCTAATTGGCTATTAGTAGTATTCTTAATATTAGAAGTGATAATGGGCCAAGGAGTATAAATGTAATTTCCCAAATTCATGTTGTTAATGCATGAAATGACTTGAACCTGGATCTGCCAGATGCAATGACCCATTCTCTGCTGCTTTCATAAGATCCAGCTTCTCATTTTGAGTGTGTGTGTAAATTCTTCCTTTACCTTTACATTTTCTTCGTAACTAGCAGCTCCTTGCTTGCCAAAACCTCTCCACATTCTAAAACAATCCATCCTGTACATTCATTCTACCACCAATCTACATCGTTTGCTAGTGCCTGCTTCCTCAGAATCTTGTAGGGAAAAAAAGATTAATTTGGCACACTAAATCATGCCCAAGTGTTTGTAGCTAAAATTAGGTCGGAATAGGACACATATGTAAAATACCAAAGAAGTATTTTTTTTTCCACTGTAAAAGAGGGGAGAACATAGAGGTCCTCAAACTGCAGTGTGCATCAGATTGACTCAGAATTTGGTTATAATACAAATTGCTGGCCTATATCCTCAGAGCTGTTGACACAATAGGTCTGGGGAGAAATCTGAAAATTGAAATTTCTAGAAGTCTCAGGCAATGCTGCTTCTAAGGGTGAAACCACTATGGAAAACAGTTTAGTGTTTCCTTAACATGTTGAAAACAGGAGTATCATTTGATCCAGTTATTCCACTACTAAGATTATACACTATAACAATACCAGCTGCAACCAGAAAACATATAAACACACCCACGTTCATTGCACCATTTCAATTTCCAAAGAGAGAGAGAAACAACCCAAGTTCTCAGTAGCAGGTAGAGAGACTGTGGTGCATTCACACAATGGAGGATGATGCAGTGTTGAAACGCAGTCAAGAATTTGTGAAATATTATGCAACAGGGATGAGTGTAGCAGACATTATGCTACCACTGATATAAAGGGCTAGAGAAAGGCCGGTAGAGAGAATCAG